GCTACAGTCCAGTCTAGCCTAGATGAGACTGCCTTCTTAAAGGCAATACCGAACGAAATTCAGTGGCATCGTGAGGCCCATTAATTTCATTGAGGGATAAACCCAATTATCAGTCCTTAAATTACTTTAAGTAACCTAGGGCAACTTGATTCTTATTCAAAAAGTACTAACGATCTCGAAAACTAATCTCATTTAAACTCATTTTCTTATTTTTTTTTATTTATACGTAGGTTTTCACCACTGAAATATTCTCGTTAGACGGCTTATGATGCTCTTTATTACATACTTTCACTTGAAGTTACAGTCAAGTCAAGAGATGGCGCAGCGTAACTGAATATTTAGCCTTTTCTCATCTTCGCAAATTCCTTATTTCTAAGAGTAGATTATCTCTTTTTTCTTTGTTTTGGTGTTTGTTTACGCTGTTTGCAGGATACATTATCACATATTTTACTGGAACTTTAGTCAGCATCCCTTTGAATGAGGGCCATGAGAAGCATCTGAACAAGGCTTGTCAAAGTGACAAGCAAAGGCATCCCTATTTCCCATGGCCCACTTCTTCATACCTCCTTTCCTACCCTGGCCAGTTTGCAGGCCTTGGTTCCTGCTTTCGTCTACCAAGAGCCGCTCCATCCCCTTGCCGCATCACTTCCAAAACCTCATTGCGAGTATGCATTTGCATGTCTGTAGCATGTTCGACTCTAACGTATACTACTTGTTAATATTCTTCATGAGTCCCTATCCCTCGAATAAGATGACTTTGGCATGAGTTGCCTTAAAAAATCTTTTAAATGCCTTTTTTCCGTTACCATAATTTGTTAAAAAATATTCGTTATATTCTCGATACGTATAGGCGATGTCTCGCATGAACCACAACCTGTAGTCTTCTAGTCTCCCACCATTTCCTCGTTATTTAGAATGATTAATCACGAAAAAATGAAACAAAAGCGACAATATCCAAAGCTCTTACGAAATGTAACTTTGTTGCAGGGGGGCGAGTCATTGATGACATAACTTTCGTATTTTCACGAAAAGAAGTTGATCATCTGATAAAATCTATTTGTAAGCGAAATTTTCATCGTAGATCAAGAGAAAGTATTGATGAATTTTATTACTCGAAAAGCTTACACTATATATAGTAAGGAAGCCATTTGGCTTCAGCTTGGCTTTTGGCTCTAAAAATGAGAACTAGGGTTTATTAAATGTGTTAGCTTTTTAAACCTATTTGGTCAAGTTAACACTTGCACTGTATTTTTATACTCGTACTCTTTTATTTTTTTTGCGCCAAGCCTAATGTGGAGCAATTCACTTTCCGACCCCGCCTTGGCCTTGCGTCTCCTTGGCTACGATGTGGTTGACCAGGGCATTCGACACTGGGCTGTCCGGAATCTCGCCAACCTGGCTCCTGATGTATTACTGCTTTATCTTCAACAACTCGTTGAGGTGAGCCGCAGCTGGTAGTGAATGTTCAGTTTTCCGCCTCACAACTTCAATCAACAGTGGTCTGGAGTTGAACTGTTGTCTTGTGTTATTTTCTTAAACACTAAATTTGAAAATCTGGATGCATATTGTAGTTTCATTGAAATAGTCATCCTCTACTATCTTCCTCTCGTGGTGCAGGGTGGAAGCAGACACAACTTCGCTCAAGTGTCCACCAGGATCGACTCTTTCACCTCTTGCTTCTATCCGTAATAGGAACTATCGCATGAAGAGCCACTTTGCTGTAACTCTACTAATAAATATGATGTTTAGTCAAGATTTTAGCTAATTTTGCATCTTCTCCTACAATAATTCGCTTCCCGAACATAAAACTGCCACTACTTCCGGATTTTTATGGAATTGCCGGAAATTTCAGGTTAAACTAACCAAAGAACAACATTTTGTGGTTTCATCGTACAGATGGCTCCATTATCGATTAAAAGGTGCTGAATTCCCCTTTGTTTCCAGGCCGTAATCACCATAGCTGGAAGACATTAAGGCCAGCAATGAGTCAAGGAAACCAACCGTACTATTAAGAACTGGATTTCGAAGAATGCCTTAGTGATATATTGTGACATGACTTATATTTCGAAGAAAAAGTTGGTTCGAAGAAATTCGTGATGTGGTCTCACCGGAAACCGCAGCTTGGTCATATTGTCAGGAAGACCTAGAGAAACTGATTTTATACGGAGTCCACAGTATGCATGATCATTTCCAGAGTCGGACCGTGGACTTGATACATTCCCTGACGTTGCGCCGGCACCGTAGTCTGTATCGTCAGTGAGTCTTGCCATACTTAGGACAACAGCACAACTCGTCAAAGAGACAAGTGACGTCGATCATTTGACTCCGTATAAAGTGCGTTCCTCTAGGTCTTCTTGCCAATATGATCAAGTTGTGAAAACAAGGTCAAACAACTTCAATTATTATTATATTCAATATCATTTTCATTAACTCTATTAGAATTGCCACAGCATACTTTTCATGGAAAAAGTGCAGTATTGAGCCACTTCTCGCTCTGATCGTCTTCTTTGTATGGCAAACCGAATGTTGCCAAAGTTTTGACTGTGTAAACGACGATGGGCCGAAGACTTTAGCGTCCGAACGTGGCTACGACAATAGCGAAACCATCTGCTTTCAATTTTCAATTTGGAAAAACTCAGAATTCTTGCAACAACATTTTAATGTAAAATTCAACTTAAAAGGCACTGCGTAACGTCGTAATCCTGTTACGAATCATTACGCATGATAATGTCCTGATTTTGATCGTGGACGTGGTACATTCTCAGACGTTTCCCCTGCATCATAGTCGGCATCGTCAGTGAGCTTTACT